AGTTAAATGCGCAGACAGTTAAATACCTTAGAGTGAGACATATTTTTTTGTAATTTTTTTTTTTTTTTTTTTTTTTTTTTGATTTTTTAATTGGGTTTACAGCACGTTTCGTATAGAACTTGAATTGCTGCTATGCATCTGTGTGTATACTGTATATACTATATATAAATGTAAATAATGTAAAATATTTATTAAGTGTAGTCTATCTGCTTTTAACTTCAATGTCTACAACAAACAACAGCACACAAAAAAAAAAAATAATTGAAAAAAAAAATATTTCGAAAATTGGGAGAGAATATTTTTTTGGAAAAAACACCAAAAAAAAATGCAAAACAAGACAGAAAGCACACATACACGCACTTAGACATTTGACAAAAAGTTAAACACCTTTTTTATAAAAAAATTTATATATAAAAAAAAAATATATTAAATTATTTTTTATACAAAGAGCGGTTTATGAGAAACCCGTATGAAAACTTGCCTAATGGAAACGGGTTAAGATGTGGAAATTTACGTACAAGTGTTTTAACAGCTGTGTAAAAGAGACAGCTATATATATATATATATATATTTGCGTAGCCACATGTTAACCTGAAGCCACGTGCATAATGCGCGTTTTTCACCTACAAGTGAACGATAAATTACTTTAATTCGAAAACTATCGAATTTCGAGTTCGACACAAAAAAGCTTTTCAAATGCGATTTCTCAGTACCAAAAAAAAAAACAAAAACAAATTATCAATAATAAAATTTATTGAATTTAAATTTGAAGCAAAATTCGAAGCTTTGAAACTCAGTTGAGTTCTTTGAGAGAGTTAAATATTTTAAAAAAAAAATTTAAGCAAATATAGACTGTCGTTTTGAGTTATGGTGGTGCTTTCTACTGAGCCATAGTTATATAGTAGCGTAATGTGCTGCACGCATTACTAACAGAACATCGTACAAGATGTACAAATAAATGTTTTATTGTTGCAAATCTAACGCACATTGCACATTTGTTTGTATATCGATGTATGAACATCCGTACCTTAATACATATACACAAAAAAATTCATTGAGGAAAATACTAAAAATGATACGAAAACAATTTTTTTTTTTGCTGAATAAAAACTAAACCAAAATAATACACTTTTTTATGAACACAAACAACCAAAATACCTATTACTACATACAAATGCAACCATGTATTTTCTAATTACAAATAAAAAATCTTACACCGCTTGTTAACCCGTCCTTTCAAAAAATAAAAAAAAAACATCCTCTATGACCAAACAACCGTTAAACTAATGAAACAACCATCTTACCCCCCATAAAATCCAAACTAACAACTTCACAACCGCAACACATTCAACTACAACTACAACTACAACAACTAACAACAAATGATCAACAAACAACAACTAAACCCAACCAACCAACCAACTAACCGACTTGTTAACCACATAATTCTCGTTGTGCACTTCAAAACCAAAAAAAAAAAATAATAATAATAATAATAAAACAAAAATCAAAAAATATTTACTAAATAAAAATACATATCCACTCTACTAACTATGTGATAAAAATGACAATAACGCCGTTAAAAATAACAATTGTCGTAATGTGCATTTCATTTTGTACGAAAATAAACTTTAAATAAAAAAAAATAAAATTCGAATATACTTTATATCCATACATATGCTCTTGCATAACTAATAATAAAAAAAAATATGTCAACTAAATGCAATAACAACTAACAACTTTTCACAAATGCATACATTTCAATATTCACAAAAAAAAACTTCAAAAATTTAAATATAAAACAAATCGTTCATTTCACTTGCCGCAAAATATGCAAATCAAAATAATCGAAAATTCATTTTCTGCCAAACACAGGTATAAACAAATGTGTTTGTTTTTAGATTTTGTAGTCTACCTATCAATAAATCATTAGTGTTTTTAGATAATATTTGCCAGCTAAGTTTCATATATACGTATGTGCATATGTGTATGTTATTTTTATTGAGAGCATTTGCAAAACAAAACAAAACAAAAATACCGAAATTTTTCCTAATCGATTTTTAACGTAAGAAGAGCATTGGAAGAGATGGTATGAGTTAAATATTTTTAAAAGCAAATGATAAGATTTTATTTATAATCATTTTTAAGCAACTGCTTAATGAAACTAGGTCTGAGTTTAGGGCTGCCATTTATTTGTCATAAAATATTGAATGAAACGCGTATAAAACAATGCTTCGCACAGCCGAGCTTTCGAAAAAAATCAACACCAAGCCCTAAGTTATTGCTGTGTACTCTCTTCTCTGTTATGAATCCTGCTGGGGAATGATTTTGTGGACAAACGTTAAAAGCACAATCGCCTAAGCATCAGCATGGCTATTATTGCTGAAGAAAAGACCAAACACTCTACACTAACTAAATCAAGGGCGCTTGAAGCACGTATCAAATGTAATTAGATACCAAGCTGTGGAAGTGATATTAACCAAAATAAGTCAGCAGCCAAACTAGGCAATGCGAAGATTCTCTAGGGTGTCGACTTCATCCATGAATATACAGTTGACTATATTTTTAAACTAGCTAAATAACCACTTTATACCCTCAAAGTTATGGGAAAGTTTAAGGATAAATGGGAAAGTTTGCTGTCAGAAACTCACATTTCGAACTAAAAAGAGCTACTTAACTATTGTAATTTAGCGTTTTCAAGCTGCGTTGAAGCGTAGTTTTTGTTAAGCATGTCAGCATTTACTATGCCAGATAAGCGACTAAGCTGGCTTGGAGAGCATTTATGGTGCACTCATGGCTCATTAAAATATACCTAACCACCCTGTCTAGATGGATGGAAAAGCTAAAAGAGTGATTTAACAAATTTAAAAAGAAGCAGTGTAAAGATTGACAGAAGTTGCAGGCCTCATAACAACATATGTGCGAGGAGCGCGCTTTACATGGCACATTCATAAATAAGACGAAAGCATTGAACAAGCTTCTCTGTTTCTGCATTACCTCTTCCAGAAAGAAAATATCTGATCTAGATATCAGAGTACTCTTTAACTACATAAAATGCCTTGATTTTCTACGCGACGGCTACCACGCCTCGAATTAAATTAAATTACAGAGCAGCAGTAACCACAATAGACGAATAAACTAAATTAGAGCATAGCAGCGGCCTAATGTAATCTAACCCAACTAAAGAGGACCAATGCCAAGGTTTATCTAGTATTTTTTGTAAAAAAAAAACTTATTTAATATCATATAAAAAAAAGATTTCCGATAATTCGTCCAAGGCGCCATTTGAAGAACCATCTTCCGTCTGAGCATATAGAGGCTCGCTACCCCATCTGGAGGCATAAAATATTGCTTATGTCTTTGCTTCGAACTGTTTAAGTTCTAGTAGTATACTATTTTATTCATGTCCTCCATTTTCGGTAAGAAACAAAACCACGTCTAGTGGTATTTGATATTTAATTCATTTTTTTTTAGTATGATAACATGAACTGGAGCTCAACAGCAATAAATATCAGGGAATATGTAGATTAAATTTTCAAAATTTTTTTTTAATTTGAGGTATTTTAGTTTAAACAATTTATATTTCTTTTAAGTTCGAAATATTATATATATGATATAAAGAGGAAGAATTCGTACGGTTTAATTTTTTTTAAGAAGTAGCCCAATATGCTCCCAAAAAAAATAACATACCAAAATACGAAATACCAAACAAAAGTGGCAAGTTATATTAGATCCCTTTAATTCTAAAATTATTTATTTTGAATAAAACTTACAAAAATTAAAAATTATTTCTTTCATTTTAATACGAATTTTAAATTTCAAGCAAATAGAAAAAAAATTGAAAAATTTGATAGAAATCCTAACTTGCAAAATTTACTATTTTTCGAAATTGCTTAATGCCAATATCATTACAATATTTATGTCTTAAGACAAAATAAAAATAATAAAAATTTAATAAGTATTTAAAAAAATAGTGCCAAACCACACATTTTTGCAATCAATTATTATTTATGTTCTTTTTTGTATTTAGCATTTGCAAAATTGTGTTAAATATTTATTTGGCTTTGGCTTTTAGTACTTATTTTTTATTTACAACTAATTGCAATTAATTATTAAACTACTAACAAATGCACTTTTCTAATTTTTTTATTTGAAAACAAAAGAAAATTAAAATAAAATAAAATTATTTAAATTCTTATATGCAGTATTTTAGTATATATACATATTTACTAGTACATACATACTTTTACACACACATATATATTTATCTATTTAAAACCAAACAACAACATACAACAAACATACTTATTTGACTGGGTTAAATCATAATATAAATATGAATGATTGATTTTAATCAAGCTCACTTTTTATTGTTATTCAAATTTTCCATACAACCACAAAACCAAAAATAAAACGTACATACCAAAAACTACTACTACTACTACTACTACTACGTACATGCATATGTTATCTACCACTCGACCACTCGATATCCAAAAATAAAACTATTAATTTTGCAAATTAAATCAACTATCATCGCATCACCACCAACAAACCAATCAATAAAACGAAAAAAAAAATTATATATATATATATATATATATTTATATCTCAATAAAATTACATAAACAAAAATACATTATGACATTAATATTTGCAAAAAAAAAAACAAAAAACAAAACGAAAACAAATCAAAATAAATATAAATATAAACAAAAATAAAATAAAATCCTTAAAAAAAATCGAACTATGCAAATTTGTTGTGGGCAAAAATATTTTATGCAAATTTCGTACCATAAATAAAACTAAATTATTTAAAATTCCAAATGCAAAACATAATACTAATAATAATAATAATAACAATAACAATAATAACATATATAAAATAAATGGTTCAATGTGGATGTGTATGTGGCTGCTTGCGTTGGAATGATGACAACAACGACAACACCACTGATGATGATGACGGTGATTATGTTTGATGACGCCGCTTGATATAGACGCAAAACCACTACTATGAAGTATGATCCGCCATACTCGAAAAAACCCATCGCCAAGGGCTATACCAGCGCCGCAGCCACTGCCGCAAATCATCACTCGGTCGAGGAGGTTTCACTGGACGGTTCCAGCAAATTGGTGTATGCCAATCAGGCAGGCTTCAGGTATGGCGTAGATTCATTTGATTAACTTTTTCTTTTAATAACTTCAAATTTTAAACAATTTTTTATTTATTTAATACTGGCTCGCCCTTAAACTACTTTCAAAATTGCAGGGATAAAAGTATACATGGCCGTCGTTATACTGGCGGCGGTGAGGACGATCAAGCACACTCTGGTATGTATCAAAGGTCGACACGCATCCCAAAAGTCAGCTAAAAGAATATATATATATATAATATTTTTATATATATTTATTTACACTTGCACATAAATTACGCTTTTCACTTACATTATTTGTTTCTGTCAAAAGAAGCTGATTAAATTATGCACATACAAGCCCACATACACACACATTCCACTTGTTGACATACCACCTATATACTAATGTAATTGTGCTCAGCCCTGATTAGTGTTGTTAGTTGCAAATTAAAAAAATTTAATAACAAATAATAATAATAATAATAATCATAGTATGTCTTGAAAATACAACCAAACACTCTTTTTCTTATTAAATGAGTCATGTATTTACTTACATACTATACATACCTACTAATCAATATAAATTATACATATAGTGCAGTTATTGTGAAATTTTATAAGAACATGCATATATATACTCTTGTTATCTACAAAACATTTTACTCACATACTAAACTTACCACATACTCGTACATAACTAACAGTTAGTTAGTGCTTGTCGTGACGTTCTAAATAAATACTGTTATTATTATAATAAATAATAATAAATTAAATACTATCAAAGTTTCGTCGCATCCAATGTTTTTGTCAGTTCCAATTTAGTTAATACGAATAATAAATCAATTAGTTTAGTCTAGTCTGTTTTATTGTCATTAAATGCGCTTCAAATTTCTGCTTACAGTTTTTTCAAAAGGCAAAAAAAAAAAACATACCAAAATGAAACGTAAAATTAAAATTTAAACTAAATAATAATAAATAATACGGCTATCCAACTGTACCCTTTGGGAGCGAAGTTTATGAAATGTGTTGTTGTGGACATTCCAAGAGAAATTTACACCCTTTCAAGAATTTCAAAAAAGTTTTTTTTTTAAATAATGTTAAAATTATTCATAGAGGTCATAACACGATTTTAATAGTGCATCCGCTCTGAAAATGTTGCTTTCAGTTTGTTTTCAGTATAAAAATTCACGACACTCGAGAGCTTAATGATAAGTTTTGAAAAGATGCCCGAAGTCTAACATCCACCTTCTGTTCGGAGGCGACTTTATGTTAACTGTAGCTCCCTGCATTTGATCGAAAAATATCCTGAAGCCCATCAAAAATTGTAGGAGGAGGCCAAAAATCGCTTCAGCGGTTACGGAGTGTCAATTGTTTGTTACACAGAGTTATCCATTTTGTCGTCTCGTAAATAAACATAAATCAATACATTAAAAATATTTTTTCTCGTGAAATTCCTATTTGAAATACTTTGAAGTACTTTTGAAATATTTAATCATTCAAATGCCGCTTTTTTTACCAACGACCCAACATTTCATAACACGGAGAATGCTGGTTTCCGAGTAGCCAGGAGTTAAAGGCTCATCAGCGTAAACATGGTGTTTCGTATGGCTTTCGATGTCTCACTGGCCTCGCCAAGACGAAAGATGATGCATGCGGAAAACTTCTCTCGCAATAAAGCCATATTTGGTCGTGTTGTAGGGCATGTGGCACCGTCTGGTTGAAACCACAGGTTGTCCAAGTCGTGTTCTTCAATTTCAGGCCAAAAATAATTCGCTTAAGATATGGCCAATGCGATCCATATCAATAGTGCCGTAGTCGTTTTCAAAGAAGTAAGATCCAATTATCCCTCTCTTCAATTAGTTGAGTACTCTCGGAAACCCATATGTGTCAAATTTTATTGATATGCAAATCCTCTGGGTGAAAAATGTGCCTCGTAGGTGAAGACTCGCCATAAAGTATCATAAGAAAGCCCTTGCTCTCATGAGAACGTCGATAAATATACAGATCCGGGTCGTTGGTTATACTTTTATTACAGGTGAAAAGAACAAAATAATGATGCTTAGACCTGTATGATGATTATTTTTTCCATAATCTCCTCTTAAAGCACCAAATTTGCCCACGAATGACTCACCATTTCTGAACTGGGCGATTGTTAGGCGATCCATTTTTATATGTTACATGTTTACTTTGACAGTTAAGTTTGACAGATGTCAAACTACTTAACAAATTTCTTGGGTGTCATATTTCGAATGGAATGTCAAGAAAGCTGCACATTTCACTCTTTTTGGTTTGAGGCTTGAGTGTGCCCACATTGACCTCTAAAGCGGTTAAACCGTCTCTTTTAACGAACGTCAGCACAATCACTACCTGCACCCACGGCAGTTTCTGCTGCACAGCATGCACTAGCCAACTGCACACAGAGTTGCACCAGAAAACATAAATATTATAATTAAATACTATATTATAAACGGTTTCTTTCTTACACGCAACAACAACAAAAACTCCAACCGCCGAATACTACCAACAGAAAAGGGTATATTGAAGAAGCACAGTTATGGTCTTGTGCATAATGAACAATTGAAGGATAAATGGGGCGACGATGTACAGTCCGACAATCTCGAGCTTATAACACAACAGGATGGTGCGCTTGGCGCCTCCACCAGCGGTGGAGCGGCGGTCTCCGAAGTAGAACGCACACTGAAGTCGCTCAACGGCTATCACGAAGATATATTGGAGGCATTGCGTAATGCGGCCTCACATCGCGGCACCGCCACCGGTAATACGCCAGTCGGTAGCGGTAGCCTGAGTGAGGAGATGCTACGCAAAACACTGCAAGACTGCCAAAGTGCACAGCTCGGCTATAGTGTGGAGCCGTATAAACGTACGAGCGGTTCCAAGTCGAGTTCACGCGAAAACATCTGCGATCCAGCACAAGCACATATGCTAATCGAAAGTGCGGGTCTTGGTGGGCATGCTGGAGCCATATTGCATCATCATCGGTCGCAGCATCAACTGCATCAGCCGCCACCGTCGATGCAACAGCAGCAGCAACAACAACAACAACAGCCACCGCTGGACGATGATGATGCACCGTCGACCGGACCGTTGCGTATACGCAATCTAGAGGATCTGATACGACAACTGGAGCATCATTCGTCGCGTCACATGAGTCCTAGCGGCTCCGAGGACATTCGAATGTCCGAAACGGAGGCCGATCGTCATTATAGATTAGATAGTTCCGCCGCTTGTAGTGAATCCTCGCAAGGGTTAGTAATGAATTGAAATTTAACAAATGTTTTTGTCCAACAATCTCGATTTCGATTTCGATTTTGTTTTGTTGTTTTATTGCTGATTTTTGCCGATTCGTAATGAGCGTTTATCGATATATTTATTATTGATTTCAGTGAAATACATATATATACATACTACAACACATTAATAATTATCATTAAATTTTTGATTTTTGATTATTTTTTTTGTAATTTTAGTTTTTTCACGTAACGTACTCAAATTTTGTATGTTGGAGCTGTAGGTGCCTATTTTGGGTTAATTGGAAATTAATTAAGTAAAAGAAAAGAAAACATTAAAACCAAAATTAATTAAAAGCTTCAATTAGTATCTACTTAACAATTGTAGTACATGTGTATGTAAGTGTTTGTATTTTCGTTATTAGGTGATCGTAGTTATATGCCATATACGTATGTATGTATCGGCGTATGTTTGAATGTATGTAAACGCGTATATTTAGGTGTGTATGTATGATCGTATGTCTGTGAGTTGCTGCAACCCGCTTTTAACGATGCCACCTTATCACCAAACAAAACGCATACCACCACACCTACTACATACTTACATACATACATACGAACATCAACCGAAAATTATAACATATATAATAGTAATTTTCATTAGCGAAAAAAAAGAGAAACAAAAACAAAAAATGACATAAAAACCAAAATCAAAAAACCGCCACAAAATACACTAACAAAACACTTTGCACTTAAAAATTATTTGCAACTCTTAATATTCTTTCAGGATTTAGACTGGAATATCTGGTGTGATAAAGGTTGGTTCCAATTTCCATACTCTGTGCAGCACACATGCGCACTCTCTTAAATAGATATATGTATACGTACACAGTATACGGTATTGCCATATATAAAATATTTGCCATATTTTAATATCGTAAATATGTAAGCCCTCGCATAACCTAAAAATTGGATAGATAGTTTTTTTCTATACTTGAAAATAGGCACCTACATACATACATATATTTGCCCTCCGTTTAAAAGAATATTGCAAGCAAAATCGCTTTTAATGAGAGTTTTCAGATTTGGTTCTTAATTTTGTATTATTTTATTTTTTATAACAAATTTAAGGATTTACTTATAAGATAAATCTCTAAATTCGAAATCATACAATAATTAAATTAAAAAGGCAGTCTCATTAATTAAAAATATTCGTTATGGTAGCTTAAAATTAAAAACAAAAGATTTTTAGTTTTTTTTACAAACATTTCTATATTAAACTTTCTAACAGCGATCGCCGCTCGGCACGGAATGTCAGGCTCTCCAAACGCATGTCTGACCTGAAACAAATGCTCATAATAAAAGACCAACCATTAGCCGTTTGGAGGCGGCATAAATAAACTATAGTTCCTTCATCTGTAGTGAAATATCCAAACGGACCCCGCGAACTAGTAAAGCTCAGTTGAAAATTGGCTGTACAGAGGAGGGTTATACAAGTAGAAGTTCTTTTTTCAACAGCCTTTTTTTGACAGATTACGCGTGAGTCGTGCCAAACTGCTATAATATTTATTTTTATTTAGTATTGCTTGGCTTTTCTACATGGAAAAACTTACCACCCATGAGCAAGCTTTACAAGCCATTCCACTTTATTACGAAAATTTAGGTTCTGTAAATAGTTTATTTCGCGGGCTTTGTTCAACTTATGGCCAACACAATTGATCTACTGAGTGTACCATCTGAGACTTAGCACGCAGTGTAGAAACTATAGCGGCCGTTGCTGGGAGTGTGCACGAAGACCTACCATGAAGAGCCGATTCGGCGCCATTCGCAGAAACTCTGACTGACGTATGGAAGAATTTAGCGATTCTTCAACTAAAAACGAGATCTCAAATTGAAAACGTACAAAATATAGCTTGAAGCCGCTCCACCTTCCCAAGAGACATCGCTATGGGCTTTTGAAAAAATCCAAGAAAATCTCACGTTTTCGAAACAAATTTCGTTCAGCGATGAAGCTCATTTCTGGTTCAATGGGTATGTTAGCTAGCAAATTTGCCGCATTTGGGACAAAGAGCCGTTTTGGACCGGTCGATTGGCCACCAATATCGCGTGATATCACATCGTTAGACTTTCTCCTGTGTGGCGTAATCGATTTTAACAGACTTCTACTGAGGCCAACTCTCCACCAATCAAATCATTTGCTATATACAGGGTGGTCTAGTCTATAAAGTTAACACAGAGGAAACTCTAATTTAAGCTCTCGTAGCTTCCAGCGAGTTACTATCGATGTGTGTGGTCTCGTCTTGTTCTGATGAAGCACATTTCCTCTCCTATTGGCCGAACTTGGTACAACCACTGACGCTACAGGTTTGCTGGTATCCATCTTTTGCATGCTTGTGATTAATTCTTCTCGAAAGACTTTTTCTTTTGTCTTTGGATGATGAGGCATATCTGATTAATGACAAATCGCTGCATCACTGTTAGCTGAGTCGAAATTGATGTTGGTCGTGGCTGCACTACGTCGGCATAAGCCTTGAGTCTTAGCCGGTCGAAAGCAAGGGGTCGGTAGGCGTTAAATAAAACGATCTATGTGCTCAATTGACCAGCCACAAGTGCCATAAATGTCTCCTCATCGGGCCACTGTCTCATGTGTTGTGAGTGTGTGTGCTGGAACCATCAACCCAAACTCTTCCATTTTGTGCGAAATTTTGTAATCAACGATCTGTATCACTCGCCGTTCACAGTAACATTCTAGAAAGGCGACGGTCTTTGAAACAGTATAGTCCTGCGACGCCGTCTGCCCATAGTCCATACCAAACTTTGGCTTTTTTGGTATGCCTTGTTCGTTTTTAGAATGTCTCTGGTTGCTCTTCGCTCCAAATGCGGCAATTTGGTTTGCTCACATATACATCCTTACTCTTCATATCAACATCCGACAAGATAAGCGTAATGCGAACTTCAGTCAGAAAATTCAAAAAATTCAGAAAAAAGAAATATATTTGTATTTCTGCTATTTTAAACTTTCGATACATTTCAACAAAAATAATATTCATAATATTTCCTATATGAAAAAATATAATTTTTTATTATTTGTTTTGTTTTGTTTTTTATCAAAAATTGCTTAAAAGAGTAATCCAAAGTTATTTTTAAGCTCTTGCATTTTAAATTAAATTGCCTTAAAAAAGATAGAAGAAAGCGAATAACTAAGCTAGCACCAAAAGACTCTACACGTAAAGCGATTTTTATTGCAACAAATTATCGTATGAGCGTAGATTTGTTTTCTTTTTAATATCTTGATTTAAAAGAGCTCACTTATTTATTTGAATTGTTTTTTTTTAGAAGTTTTCGCTTCGCATCATAACTCATATATTCGAGAAGAATTTGTGTATTTGCTTTTATTTTATTGTGTGTATAAGTGTATGCGTGTATATATGTATGTGTGTATATACAAGTATGTATGTACATATGTATGTATGTATGTATGTATGTATGTATGTAAATTTCATTAACATATACCTATATACATATGTATGTGTTGTATATTCGTCTCTGTTGAATCGCAGCTCAAATCAGCAATTAGCACAATCACAGAAAACTGCAACAATACATCCGTCTTACAGCAGTCGTTTGCGCCCGCGCTCCGACGAGGAGTCGCGCTTCGCCTACGGAAGGTACAGACATCCCCAAGCAGCTAGTAGACATCCATCGCATCAATCGCACTCACCTCATGCTTTCGGCCACCATACGCATCATTCGCACGCCCACGGTCATGCTACGCACGGCCCACACTCATCACATCACTCGTCGCATACACACCTGCACCAGGACGACGAGGGTATATACGAGAGTGCCGACCATCATGAACGTTCGGTGGTAGAGGCACGTCTCGATCCGCGTGAAACACCCGATAGTGAGAGGTAGGTACTCGTTACATTCACTTTCGCTCACACACGCTCTCTCTCTCTCTGTGTCTCTCTCTCTCTGTGCCTCTCTCTATCTAAGTCTGCCTCCTCCATATGTGTCTTTGAATCCCAATCCAAAAGTATAAAAAAGAAGAAAAAATTAGAAAAAACATCCCTTTCCCATTCAATCCCATATCCGTATCCCAGCGCTAAAATGCCTAAATTCAAAAACATCCACAAGTCAGCACAACACATAACCCAAATGTATCCACTTTGTTAAAATTTTATGAAATTCTAAAATAAATGTGTACACACATATATTCCAAGCACTCACTGAAACACACAAACGAGTACTTAGCATCCTTTCCCATCCTTTGGTCCTTATGATCCTTCCAGAACCATATAACACATTGTAGTGCTCCCACTGTCGCTTGCAATCTCAAACGCTATCCAAATTCCAATTTGACTTAATTTCTGTATTTCATCCTTCGACCCACACGTACAGTCTCTGGCTTACGTTATCCACCCTCTTCCAGATATCCAATGTCCTACACTGAATCCCCAAGTCCCATCACCGCAATCAGTTCGAGCAAAATCCTTGTATCTCAATTGAAATCCCAATTTATGAAACCTAATTTGAAATATTCCTCAAGTTTATATAATTTTATATTCTAGTTTTATTCAATTCAATTCGATTTTTAATTATTGATTTTTTTTACTATAAATTTTCCACAATTTTAGTTTAGAATTTTTCCTTACTTAATTTACTCGCTGTTCGTAAATGTAGTGGTAGTGTTGTAAACTGAAACCAAAACAGAAAATGAAAATGAAAATGAAATAAAAACAAACCTAAATACAAACAAATATTCTTTAAGTAACTGTAAAAACACACACTTGTAATGTAATCTAACGTAATTAATAACACAAGTAACCTAAGCCAATGTATCTAGACATCACATATATACATTTGAAAGCAAATATACATAAATGCAGTGAATATTTTGTATTGTGATGCTGTATGCTAATCTTAGTACCCACATATGGAATGCATTCTACACTTGAAAAAATTATAGTAAATTTAGAACGGTTTTTGAGTCCTTTAGTGGAATAAGAGCTAATATGCTGGCAAATGCAGCTGAAAAGCGCAAAGAAAATATTATTATTTCTACCCTTTAATTTAAAAACCCATATTTCTTTGTGTCATATATGTAAATGTGTGTGTTGTGTCCACAAATAATTTCAATTAAAATATGAACGCCTCTACTACATCAAATTCAAAATTATTATTTTATAAAAAGTTATGTTAATTAAATTACATACATAAAATGGAACAAAATCAGTTAAATTAAAATAAAAATTATATAAAATATTATACAAAAAATTTATTTAATATTTCCAATTAAAAAAGAAAAACTAAAATAATATAAGTAAAATTAAAAAAAAAAAAATAAATTATATAAAATAAAATAAAACAAAATCAAATAAAATAAAATGAATTAAAATAAAAAAATCTAATTAAATTAATAAAAAAAAATAAAATAATATAATATTAAAATATATTCGATAAACTAAAGTAAATTTACATAATACATAAAAAATATTAAATAAAGTGAAATAAATAATGTTTATAAAATAATATTAAATTAAAATAAAATAAAATAATATTAAATAAAATTTATCTAAATTAAATACCAAAAATAAAATGAACTAAGAAAAACTAAAATTAATTAAAAAAAAAAATAAAATAAAATGAGACGCAAAAATATAATCAAATAAACTAAAGAAAAAATAAAATTAATTAAAAAATCCTAAAATTGAAAAAGTATAATAAAGTAAAAAAAATAAAATTAAATAAACCAAATAAATATATAAAATAGAATGAAACAAATTACTATTATATTAAATAAACATAAATCGAGTACATAAAATAATATAAAAAATAATAAACAAGGAGTAAAATATAACATCATAATTAAAAAAAAATTATATAAATCAAAACAACCGAAATTAAAGTAAATTCAATAATATGAAACAAAAATTAATAGAATCAAGTTAAATAAATGCAATAAAGTTAAATAAACTAAGCCAAATTAAAGTAACATGAAAATGAACAGTTTAAAAAAAGTTTTATTCAATTCATATAAATTTATTAGCGTTAGCGCCGCTTACGCGATTACAGCCAAATCAATATTAGCGCGCCATTCCTCTCTTCTTTCCGCTGTTTGGCGCCAGTTGGAAATGCCAAGTCAAGCCAGGTCCTTCTACTTGGCTAAATAGTCATTATTTAAGTTAATATGGCCAAATGTTCTTATAAGTTAAATTCAATTAATGAAATTTAAATTGCAATCACCCTTAATTCGAAAATTCGTATTGCATTGGTTTTTTTAACATTTGGACAATATCTTCTCTAAAACATTTTTAAATTGGAAATAACAAGAAATCAGATGATGACACGTTTTTCTTCGAGTGGCGAAATTTTTTCCTGAATGTCTAGTATAATTTTCTAGATGACCCATAATTAATTTGCAACTTTTAGCACCCTTCGTAATGGAAAACAAAAAGAATCATTCGTGTTGAAAACGGGTTGAAATTGATTTAATTGTATGTAGTAGAGGTGTTCTAACATTTACTTCTTATTAATTTATTGACCTTCAAATTATATTACGAATATGTAGGGTGCATCAAGCATTGTTGTCACATTTCAAAAATCCATAAATCATTTTAATATTATTTTACATACATTTCAAGCATTTTCACCATACATTAAATAAAAAAAAAAATAAAAAATAAATCATGTTCACAAATATAATTTCCAATATCACTTTGTTTGTTGTGCAACTCTAAGCATTTTATGCACTCATTTGTATCATCCACCTTGATTGTAAATAAATGTATTTGTACATTTTAGTTAATTAAGTCCCATCACATTCCTAACTTTGAACATTTACTTCATTCTCACCCCATCATAACATTACATTTCCTTTCATCACCTGCATAGCTTACCAAAGTTCATATGCACATGTTTGTCATAACACATAACGTCAAATACGTAAATTCATACAAACACACGACAACCATTATATACATACATCGAATGTGGCCGTTCATTATACCCCGTGGGAAAGTGGATCATCTAGAGAATTTACAGCCAGCACATTTTGTGCATTTATACATACATAAGTACATATGTATATGCATTTGAAAGTATACAAATTACTTAACCCAAGGTTTTTGAACTTTCAAAAGAAATTGCTATCGAGATAATAAGCAGATAATAAGACAACAGTCTTACGCCTTACCAATTGTTTTAACGACTTTGTTGAGATGTTTTTTCCCTACGATGAAACCATTACCCACTGGGCAACATAATTTCACACATATTCACGCTTTTATAGTTAATCACTTTCATAGTTAATCACTTTCACTATTGTAAATAGTATATGTACTTCAAAAGCACATTCATTCATGCTCATACATATTTATTCATATCTATGTACATACATATGTGCATACACTAAACATATATATGAATGCTATTCATTCACGTTTGTTTGTATGTGGATTGTGATATTCATTAATTTGTTTCTTGCTATCATTTTCTTTAATCTAATTTTGCTTCTTATTTTCTTATTTGAAATCATTTATTTCCGGTTTTAATTTTATTTCTTTTTTCACTGTTTTATTTAACGCAATCCATTTGCATTACTGCCTGATTTTCCAACGCAAATTATTTTTCATTTTTTTTTTTAATATAATCTAAACTTTTTTTTTACTTTAATATATTTAATTTTTTTTTAACTTATATTATATTGATTAATTTTATTTTGCTTTTTTTCATTTGGTTTTATTTTATTTAAATGTATTTTGTTTACTTATATTTTATTTTCTATTATTTATTTAATGTTATTCGATTTTATTTAATTTTTGTTTATTTTATTTATTTTATTTTATTATGTTTGATATATTTATTATTTTATTAATTTTGTTCCTTATTATTCAAATTAATTTTATTTATTCTTTTTTACTTTATTTTTAATGAAATAAACAACATTTTATTTTAATTTATTTAATTTATTTTTATTATAATTAATTTAATTTTATTTTATTTTATTTTATTTTGTTTTTCTTTTAATTTTATTATATTTTATTTTATTTCTTATTTTTATTTTATTTTATTATACTTCATTTTATTTTATTTTATTTTATTTTTCATTACTTTATTCTGCTTTATTTAATTTTATTTTATTTATTTTTTTTTTTTATTATATTTGATATTGTTATAATATTTTAAATTTTGTTTCATATTATTATTTTATTTACCCTTATTTTATTTAATCGAATTTAATTTTCTTTTTGTTTTACTTAATTTTATTTCATTTTATTAAATTTAATTAATTTTAACTTAATTTTACTTAATTTTTTTTTTAATTTTATTTTAATACACTTTATTTTACTTTCATTCGTTTTATTTAATTTTATCTAATTTTTAAATTTATTTATTTTTGGTTTTATTTTATTTATTATATAATGTTTTTTTAAATATTTATATTAATATATTTTATTTTAATTAAATCTTTAATATTTGTTTTTTATTTATTTTATATCTTTTTATTTTCTATTTCGGTTTTTCATTTATGTTTTTGGCATACAATTTTTCAATATTCTCGTTTCTATCATCTTCGTTGTCATATCTTCGCTATTTGATAATGTTTGCATCTTTGTTTCGCATTCGTTTGTTCTTCGCAATTGTTTATTTGCTCTCTTTTTGTTTTTCGATTGCGTTTTCATTTCTTCGCTTTTGTAATCGACGATATAACTTGCCTTTCTTCGTTTGTGCCGTTCGCTTTGCTTTGTATCTCTATGGTTTCGTTCGCATTTTTCCTTTCTACGTACGCTTTGTTTATTTCCGCTTTATTTCTTTATTCTATTTACTCGTTTCTTGTATTTTCCTTTGCGTTCCGTTACGTTTTTCATTTCGTTTGATTTACTCCCCGATAAAACCCGTTTTTTGTTTTTGTTATTCCGTGTACCGCTGTTCCTGTTATGATTATTATTTTCTAGTGATGACTTTATTCAAGCTCAACAACAGTTAGCCCGGTGGGCGAGTGAGGATGTGGTATCCGTCGTGGTATTGGATCAACCGCAATCCGGCACAATGTCGGATTCCCAACAATCCAGCGGCGTCGGACCAATGTCAACGGCTACAACGAGTACCGTTATACATCATCAACATCCGCACCAGCACCACGGCGAGCATCCATCCTCGGCAGCGGCCTCAGCAGCGGCATCTGCGGCGGCGGCGGCGGCGGCAGCAGCAGCGGCAGCCAACAGCAACTCTATAATGGGTTTGGGGGGAATCGTGCCAAATGGTATAAATGTAAATCAGAGGGACTATTACCCCTCGCCACCCTCAACGGAGACGGAAAGCAGTGGAAGTGTTATCCAACCGCTCAGCCGTCGTTTGCCTATGCCAGCCGATACCGGTCAACAACAGCTGCAGCATCAGCATCAGCAGCAGCAAGCGCAATTAATGCATCAACATCAAATGCATCAGCATCAGCAGCAGCAGCAAATGCAGCTGTTGCAGCAGCAAGGCGACACCACCAGCAGCAGCAACAACAGTCAATCAGGACAAATAATGGAGAATGGTCGATATCCGGAATATAAACACTGATCATAATGTCAATGCCAACATGAGCAAAACGAACAGCAGCACCAACTACAGCAGCTATAGCAGCAGCAACAGCAACAACAACAAAAACAACAGCAATATCAATAACAACAACGCACGTTGCCATTATAGCAACACTAATAATGATAGTAATAGAATATAATCGTAAAATTCACATACAATTCACAAAGCAATAAGTAAAACCGAAGCGAAAGCAAAAACCAGAAGGCGAAATTTTGTTTCAAAATACAAGAAATTGCGAAAGAAAAATGTTGTTGTAAAAAATATTGGCATTGGCAAAAATTATAAAAAGGTTGAATTTGTTATAATGACTTGCGCCGCTCGCTAGCAATGCTAAAACGAACGACAAAATAGGCGCGCGACACGAGACGAACACTAACGAAGCGAAACGAAGCGAAACGAAACGAGGAAATGAGCGAATGAGATATCGACCGAAACCCAGCAATGTGATTTTATACAAAGTAGCATTTTAGGTTATGTATATGAATTAAATAAATTGCAAACAAAATTTAAATTGGTAAAATATAATTGAATTAAATTGAACTAAATTAATTTAAAATTAAAAATTCTATTAGGAAAATAATTCTCAGCACAAGAATTTGCCAAAAAAAATTAATATATTGAACAAAAATCAAAACCCAAAACATTGCGCAACTAAATTAAGTAAACTTTACAAAAAATATGAACAAAAAACAAAGAGGCAAACAAACTTTTGTGCACTTGAAACAGTTGAATCGTGAATTTATTACAAACAGATAAAAATGCAAATTAGTATTAACAAAAAAAAAAAAAAAAAAAAAAAAAAAAAAAAAAAAAAAAAAAAAAAAAAAAAAAAACAAAAAAAAAAGAAAATAAAATGAAAACAAAATGAAAACAAAGCAAACATAAACACGTTTTGCGATTAAATTAAGATTCATGTCCCTCAAACATACGCATAAACATACAGTATACATAAATGTGTATATTAACATATTTATATATATAAATATATATGTACATACATGAATTTCAGTTATTCACTTCCTTTGTATATACATGCATACATACATACATACTTGCTAGAAATTCTATACAAATGTATGTATATTTAAGCTCCTTTAAGCCTACTTACATGCATTACATACATACGTACATTTTGGTAATTCATCGTATCCTAATCATGTTGCACATAAATTACATAACATATATACATACATACATAAATAAATACTAAACAAATAAAAGCATTAAGTGTACATATTGAAATTGTGCATTACATAAATATATATGTATGTATTTATACAGAAATGTACGAATTTGCCAATTATTATTAAGACGCATTGATGTTTCTAAAAATTTCATATATGTATGTATGTTGCAATATGCTGGCAAACGTACATGCAGATATGTATATATGTATTCTGTCTATAATTGGTTTTGTATATTTTTATTTTGTAGTTAGCAAATGCAAATGGAATTATGCAAAAAAAAATAAAAATAGTAACAAATTAAATAAAACAAAAAAATTAATTAAATATAAGTACACATACATACACAGTCTAAGGGCGGCATACTTAGATGGAAAGTATTTCAAATAAACACTTAAAAAGAAAAATTTCAAACATTAATTTGTATGCAAACTTTTCATTATTTAAGAGCAGTAAAGCAAAAAATTTCCAAAAAAAAATTGAAATCAAATAAATAAGAATAATTAAATAAAAGGAAAAAAAAGCATACTTCTTCATATGTACATATATTACTTAAAATAATAATTTCTGATAATTTTATTTTCATTCATTTCTTCAATATTTGCATAATTTTATTAGGAGTGTGTAGGAATATCATATTAAATTGAGAGTTTCCGCTTAAAATTACAAAAATCATGCCTTGGTTTTATCGATTGCTGGTCAAATGTTTGCGCTGCTCGGTTTTTTTCGCATAAATTTTATTACTTCTTATGCCATTTAATCCATATATGAACAAGAATATTCAATTGTCTTGGAAAACATAAATTTGTATTTTATTTAAATCAAATAAAACAGTTTCAAATTTTGTAGAACAAACTCGGCATTTAAGTAGGCAATTCTTTTTTAGTGAACTCATTATCACTAACTTAATGGGAATGAGAAATTTGGCAAAAATTTTCGGTGCAACCCTAACTACAAAACAATCCACTTCATATAAAACTCATTTGGGAACCCCAAAAAACCGGCACGAACTCAAAAACAGATATAAACACGAATTTGTTTGATTTTCCCAGTAAATCGAACACTATGCAAATGGTAATTAATATTTTTTTAATTTCCCAAACTTTTTCGTCGCTCATTGGGATTTTCGTTTGTTACAAGCTTTACAAAGTCCCAAAAACAGCAGTCGCTCATGCAAAGATTTTATTCAGATTTCAAGAAGAGCCAACGCTGACAAGAACATTTCTTCTAAAATACATTCGTAAATTTTTTTTTTCGCCTTAAAAATTACTTTAAATTCTTCCTTTAAATACAGCCATATATTATATTATTATATATATATCGAACTCGTTCTTTAGTAATATATGCGGAAAAACCCAGTGCCAACATTTTGACCTCTTGCTCAAACAAATAAATAATAAATTAAAGAGACTTTGCTCTGATGATACTGAAAATTACAAAACAATGATATTATCTATTTTTAATTATAATAAAATATAAAATTTAAATTTATTTAATTTATGAGAAATGTCAAGTTCGGCTTTGAGGTATACATTAGAAATTTAAACGCTTTAGATTCGCGGAAATAGTGCGAGATTTTGTTCCAATTTTTACTACAAAAGTTCAGTAAATAGTTCGTGATGGAAAAAAATTGTATGGTCTACTGGTGAAGTGCGAGATTTTAAAATACCTTTTTAAATGATGTAATTCTCTCTTAGCCAATAACATCAAAGGATTTGGAGAATATTTAAAAAGTCCCTCCCATCTTTTTCCCAGCTGTGCGATGTACACAAGTACGGATGATATTGAAAACTTGCGAAACCGGAACAAGTTCAATTTCACCTTTCATTTTACAATAGTATTGCTAAGTATGTTAATCGCAAGAATTCATTCGCTATCACTTTAAATGGTAAAATATAGATTGGTGGAAAAAATTTAGAACCCACTCGTCATAAAGTATATCGCAGAAACCACTGGACAGACTTTGGTTGAGTTTTATAATATCCCTTGCCTAGTGAGAACATAAACAGATTATAATAATATTTGAAATTTTATTATACTTTCTAAACAATATATAACACATTAACAAACAGAACTCAATCAAATCTTGGTAGGTTTACTATCAAATGTCGCTTATATATAGGCCTAGAAGTAGACCTACCAAACTCTATAACAGATATTCTAATTTCAACTGCTCTGTGGACTTAATATAAATAAGAGTTGAGATCAAAAATTTCTAACTTAGCGTTCTAAGCTCGAAAAAATATTCCTCAAACTCCCGAATTTTTAACGATAGACATTTTTTAAATAAGTTTACTTTCCACTTAAGTTATGATATTTCTCGTAATAAAATGGAAACTATAAAATATAGTTTTTTGATTTAGTTCAAATTCTTCTGAGCTTATTTACCTAAAACAGAAAATGTTAAAATTAAATTCGAAAATTACTCTAAAGGATCTTAAGGGTTAAGTGAAAACGAAACTTAACATGAGTGGCACCAAAATTCGATATTATTAAGTTTATGCTATTATTTTTTTCTGAATTCTGCGGGCAGTGAAAAACATTTTCCTATTTTGTGCCGTGCGAAGTTAACTATTTTCTACAATCAGCACGAAATTGAATTAATAAGTTTGCCAACAATTATCGGAAGTAGTTACTAGCTGCAGTATGTGCATTTTTTCGATAAACACAAAACGTTTTGTATTAGATTTTTTTACTCCGAATGGCCAAGTTTGTCCCGTGCGACATATGTATAGTACTGCTTTTTTTTTCTTTTTACATATAAATTGTAATACAATCATTTTTTATTTATTATCAAATCTTATATTTAAATATGATTTATTGTTATTATCAATAATTTCAGACGAACTGAAAATGACTAGATCATATTTTTATTTATTTATATTTTCAAATTGTAATTTTGTGCGAAATACTGATTCTTAAAGTACTTTATCGTTACCACAAGCCTTTAGGCTAGTTTTAATAAATTTAATTTACTTTAATTTATTTTTTTTTTTAATATTTGCAATTTGCAGAAAATTAGGCTTAATTTCATTTAATTTGATATTAATGTTATAAATATCGCGTGCGGAAGAAAAATTATTTCTTTGACAAACCTTTTGAGCAATTCTTTTTAGCTTATAAATGTAACTGCTAAGTAAAGTTAAAAGAACACTTCAATAATGTTTTTTTGCCGTATTGAGTACATTCATTAAAAGCATATTAAATATGTAATATTCAAATATTCCCCTCAAATATTTATTGATTTTGGAGAGGAATATTTCTTTTTAATTTTCCGGGATTTTTTTTTTACAAAATTTTTGTTGAATTAAACTTCTCAACGTTTTAAAATTATTTTATTGTTATTATTGTTATTAATTCATATTGATAATTTTTTATTTGAAGTCCTTTTATATGTTTAATTTTTTAATTAATTATACAAACCAGACAGGTGAAGTTAGAAGAACACGTCAGTAACTTCATTATTTGTGATCTTGAGTTCAGATCTCCAAACTTTCCAATAAAATGTTGGCAAAATTTTCCAACAAATCACACAACAATCCACTACGACAAATTTTTCGACGAAGCACAATACGCGATGTATTTTGTACGAATTAAAAGTTCAGAGGAGCTAAAAAAAAGAACAAATTAACGGTTACTTTAATAAAACAAATACAAACAATTTTTAGTGCAACAGATTAATGAATTAGAACACAAAACTGAAAAACTCACAAAATGCATAATAAATATTAGTCATAAAAAAAAATTAAAATAGAAATAAAAATAAATAAATAAAAATCAAAACAAAAATAATAATTCACGAATTAGATTAGTTTAAAATTAATATGTCAATTTAAATAAACATGCAACAACAGCAATGTCACAGACACAGAAAATGATAAATATATATGTATAAGTAAATAGGTAATTAATAAAACAAATTGTTTGCTATGTAAAAAGCAACCGTACTGTATGTGTGCAATATTTATAATGAATAAAAATAAAAAGAGAGAAATTTGTTGAAAAAATTTTTTTTTCCAAACGGAGTGTAAAATTAATGATATCAAATAAAATCTTAAATACACACCCGAAAGACACTTTGCTAAGTACTACAGATTGTGCACAGAGCAAACGCATTAAAAGTAAAGTTACACTTTCATACCTTCAAACATACATACAAAGCAAATAAGGCAATAGCATGGTATACTGAAAACAAGAAACATATTTGCAAACAAACATTCATACATACATTGACTTCATTTGCATACATATATAAATAATTCACCTTATATGTAAATATATTTATTAAATAATTGTTAGGATGTAGACGAAATTCGTTTTGTTTTCTTATGTGCGATGTTAGACTAAATTTTGTATAGATTCTTCGTGTAAATATATACCAAAGAAGCAAAGAAAACAGCACTTATATGAGCTACTTGTGCGTCCGTTTGTTTAGCAGAGATTTGGCAAGTTACACCGAAATGGAAGATTTGAGTCGTTGTTAAAGCCCACACTGTGTCAGCAGCAGTCATTTTAGTACTTTGGACTTTCTGAACCTGACATATATACTGTCTTCTTTTTTATGCTAGCTGTGGTTGGAATAAAACCTTATTTGAAATGTTTGCAAAAAAAAATATCCTTCGAAAAATTTCTCTAAAAAATCAACTCAAAGACGCCATAGTAACTAAAAAGATAATTTGAATTAAATTCGTATTTTTATTTCTTTTTATAATTTAATTTGTCGGTAATTTCCCATTTAAATTTTTTATTTAATTTTTTTTTTCATCAAACATAATCGTTCAGTTTTTCA